AACAGTTTTTCCAACTCTTTTGGTGACATCCTATTGATTGGGCCATGAGGAATCTGACTTTCTGGTTCAATATCAATGCGATGTTTGATTGGTCTTTCAATTGCACCGCTCGGGGCCTCTGCCACATCTGCGAATTCTTTCAGAATTTTCTCAATTTCTGGAGATTTTGCTTTTTCCTTAGCTTCACCTTCTTTAACTGGGCGCACATATGCCACAAACGCTTTGTCATACAAATTGTGCTTTTTCACATAGCGGACGAATGCGGGGGCACTCATACAACAATAACCCAAGCTGCTTTCCTTACCAGATTCATGGAATAGGCGGATTTTCTTCTTTCCACCGTGCAGACTAGGGAGCCAACACTCATGATCCCTTAACTTTATATTCGCATCTGCAGCTTCACCCCAATCCATGTCTAAAAGAATGTCAAAAGGGAGACTATCTTCCACCAAGAGAGTCAGAGAGTAGAGAACGCGTTCCACCTTCCCCTCTGCTTCGAGCCGGAAGTATGTCTGAATACCTTCAACATACCTATCTAACACAATCTCAGTACTACTTAATATGGGCATCCAACTGTTTTACCTTTAGTCCGAGACGCTACTTTTGCAAACCTTTCTTACTTATATAATTGCGTGTTGACCCGCTATCAAGCAATTCACCTACTCTTACCTTATTAACTTCTAGATCTGCAATTATTAACTGTCCCTTACACGTTTTCATTTCAGTTTAGGCTTTGCGACGAGTGGCCAACTCATCACCTATGCCTGCAAGGGATCCACCTAGAGAGGTACATACACTAGCTACCTCTGGACAGTTAGCTAGGTAGGGACCGTTTTTCTTTGCAGTTCCTGCCAGTGGAACCTTCGGATGGGAGGATGTCTGTCTATTTACATCCGAAGTTCCTGTAGAGGCAACTGGAACCCCTACTGGTTATTCCCTTTTGGTACCTTATAATCCAGACAATAGGGAACAATGAGGTTGGGGTCACCACATTTAAGGCACTGATCGACAGTTTTCCTATCTTGCCAGACTTTCTCCGTAATCCCCAACTTTTCCCAAGGTCTTCCTTCCGACAAACCAGGATGGGGTGGATATGGTTTATCCTAATTCCCATACCATGTGCCTCTTCCTCTTCCCCAAATGGAGTTGAAACCCCGGCCACCTTGCGAGGGACCATTGCCCCTTCCACCCACGTAGTAGCTACCTTCGCCACCACCCCTCTGGGTGTCGGGTCCTCTTCCTCCACGTCCGCGGCCTCCTCTTCCCCGGCCACGGCCTTTTGCTTGTCACCCTCCCCCGCGAGCTGCAACGGCCGCGTAGTCCCCCTCCTGGACTACCGATCTGTTGGGTCCTCCCTCCAGACCGTAATCTATTTGATCATAGGAGAGAGTTTCGACACCTCTTTCTTCAAAGGTTAGAAGGAGATTGTCTTTCCCAGGTATATTCCCTGAGTAGTGGCAATAGTTAGCTTCAGCTAAGAAACCAGCATGATCTATAGCAATCTTGCTGAATTTCCCATATGTCATCCCCTCCTCCTTGGTACGGGGATACAACTGAGTACGGAGAGGATCGGGGAGTGCCCTAGCAAAGTTATTTAAAATCTGCGTTGGAGTAAGTCCGTGCTCAGCGCATTGCAAGAGTTCATCCATAGTTGCTTTAAGGGCGGATGCACTTTTCCATTTTTTGTCTGCAATGTTTAATATTAGCATTTCGGTTCTGCGAGCCAAATTTTTGTCTTCAAATCTTTCTCTAACAGCTTTGAAGAAATCTTCGATTCGTGTTTGATGAGAGTATTCAACCATTGTCTGACAATTGGCTTCTTTTTGCAGCGATATGGCGAAGCTCATTGCATCGCGGCCATGTCACGAAGCAGTCATTAGGACCCTATCCCAATATGGAATGTGTTGTCCATACACATAAGATTCTGCCGCAGCAATCCAGTGCAACACACTCTCCTTCTTCTTGTCGATGTATGTCCACGGCACTTTTACTTTGATCTTTCGGACTTCCCCTGAATCTTCTTGCTGCACTCCCTTCTTCTTCTTGTCTCCATCTCCTCCATCTCCATCTCTGTCTCCACCGTCTCCTCCACCGCCACCTAATATTTTCTTGGCCACAGCGGAATCTGACGATCTCTTACAAGTTGTTCATCTAGCTTCTCTATGCAAGTTATGATATGCCTATCGACTTCTTGTGCAGATCTCTGCAGGAAGTTGTTCAAAACTCCTTCAAACTCAAACTGATGGTTTTCGAGTTTTTGAACGTTTTTCGTTAGTGCCGCCAGTTGTTGGTTGGTGTGGAGGAGGGTATCAGTGAGGAGAGAGAGTCTGTCGTCGGTAGCCGGTTTCTGTTCCTGCCCCTTTTGTTCTTGCAATTGCTTTTGCAACCTCTCCCCCTCTTCCTTTAGTCTTTTCTTTTCCTCGAATTCCTGCCTCTTTGCTGCTACCATTTTGTTGTTTAATTCAACTTTCTTTTCTAGAATCAGAAGATTTTTCTAACAGTTCGACAAAGGCGTTTTTTTCCTCCTCCGACTCAACATACATAGGGGTCCTGTACCCAAACTAGTCGAGCAAATTCATGGCCTCAAGCTCAATTGCAATGTCGCCGGTTCAACTGGACTCCCTTCTTTCTGTCTGGCGTCTCTGCAATCTTGCACCATCTTCAGACTCTTCAGACTCTTTTTCTTCTTCTTCTTCTTCTTCTTCTTCAACTGCCTTTAATTCTTCCCGCAATTTTTTTCTCTCTTTCATTTCTTTCTCTAGTTTCTCTCTTTCTTCTTTCATTTTCTTCACCTCTTCTTCTTTCTGTTTATTTTCCTGTTCCTTCTCTTTCTTTTTCTCAGCCAGGCAGCGATCCACTTCTGCTTTCTCTGCCGCCGGCAACCCTTGCTTCATCTTCCCAGATCTCATTTGCATCATGTGGGAGCCACAGACCCTCCCAAAACCAAGGGGGAAACAGAAGCTGAATAGTGGCCCCAGTAGCTCTGAAAGAGCCAACAATCCCTGCATGGGATAATCATCCATGGTGGATGTCAGCACAGGAACGACCTCCGCTGGCCCACCAAGTAGATACCCAGGTCCTAGTCTACCTTTTGTGTGGATGGGATCTGCTTTTTTTTTTTAATGTGGGTGTCGCTGCTTCAAAATAACGAAAAATAATAATGCAAATGACAGTTATTTCTTTCCTAATCAAATGCAAAAACGAAATCCATTTTTCTTTCTTTCTTTGATCTGTTTGGTTGTTGTATGTTTATCACTTCAATATTATTTTTCTTTTTTACTAACGTTTGTCCGGCTGGGTGCTTTGCAGATGCTAGCTGTTCTGAATGGTAGCCTTTAGGTGCAGGGATAAATTGAAGTTCTCACAATGTCATATATACTTCTGTACAGGCTGGATTCGTCCAGTTCGGCTTTGCTTCTGACCACTTCCAATCTGACATGGCACTCTGCCTCAACTCCCTATACGACCCTATCTTTACTACCAGATGTCACAGTGATGGAACCAGGTATTGACTCTCTGTCCTGACCCAGACTCTACAGCCCTGACATTCATACTAGACCAGACCTTCGATTCTTCCAGACAGCAGCAGCGACCACCAGAAAGGATGTGGGAAATAGACACACAACACACAGATTCGCAATCAACAAGGTAGGGGTCAGGAGGTGCTTCACTTCTTTATAGCCGCTGATGAAGACTCCACGTTCGCTCCATTCGCTCCAATCGCAGCAGGTACGTTATCTCCACCTTAGCCCCTTCTTCTTCGGCAACTTCCCTCTCTCAATCCCAATCCACTTCTTCTCTTTACTTCCTTCTTCGCTAGCTTACACCCAAGCCAGCATACTTCTTCTCACCGGCCTGGATCATGCCAGCGACAACCAGCGAGTGCAACAAGTGCAGCTCCGATACCAAATTTGCAAGGAACTTGTAGGTTCGTCACTTGCTGGAGTGTCCCAATCAACATGCATGTCACGCAAGTCACACAGATTGCAAAAGTCTCACACGAGATCTCACACGAGATACAATGAAAGATGAGTGGTAGCCAGGAAGAAACAACTCAATTATCATAACCAGATTAGGCAAAGAGAATCACGAGTTCAAAGTTATAGCGCCCAACTGTATTACAAGTCTTCTTCTCTCAACATGAGTTYCAGGCCTGGCGCTCATTAGCGCTGGCCTCCAATCATCASGTATGGCGCCCAACAGGTGAGTATCATCATAGCTCTCCTCTCTCTTCTCTAGCCTTCTCTCTTCTCTCCCTCTCTGTCTACTGTCCTGGTCTACTCACACTCACCATGCATGTACACTCCCTATCACACRAGGATCTACTTTGAATGCTACTCACTGGCATCCCTAYTGAYTGTCCCTACTAACTCTATCTAGCACWRGCRCAGCTATGGCYGCCTTCCTTYTGCCAGCGCCCTCTTCTCTCCCTCTTCAATAGCGCTGCTCCTTCAGCCTAGCGCAGCTCACACACATMTGGCGCACAAGTGCCACAGCACTTCCACACACTCATGCGAAGTGAGCATYTGYCGAATGTGGAGGCTGGCCAGTCCTTTATAGTGCTGGACTGGTCKGGCGAGGGCTGAAAAYTCGGCCTCCAGGGTCTGGGACTTYCTGCCYAGTAMCTGTTGTTGCRAAGTGTGTGTCMYRGTATCTTTTTCCATGGTCTGCTGCTGCTTTGGGCCATCGGGCCTGTCTTTTGGACTCCTGGTCTRAATCAGGACTGACTCGTGGGATTATGACTGGACTRGGACTGTAGCCTTTGACTCATTGCCGAACAGACATGTCTTTTCATCGAGGAGACATGACCCTAACTCAGTCTTGAAAATTGTACCCAATACCTRTTCGTTCAGGTCCTGCCCGTGACTGTTCAAAATGTCTTTTTAATTCAATYTGGATGCGACACTTACTCAGGAACTTTGTCTTTTGAGTTACTGCTCGTGAATTTAAGTTTTGGCCGACAGGGCCCCTTGCTGCTGGGGCATCCATTTGGGGTCTGATTTGTAAAGGCCCTTTTACTCTCGCCGGCCTAATTTCAAAGTCCTCTGAGAAAATCCTTACCTATTCACAATATTAATTCCGCTTCTTGCTCTTTCATAAGCAGATACAATATGAGTTGCAAAATCAATCAATTCTTCCCTCGTAAACCAGCGATCTTCACTTGGGTCCTGATATGCAAATCTTACTTTATACTGTCGTTGAGGTCTTCCTCTACGTCCAGTTTGAAAGGCACTTTCAGCAATAAGTTTGTCCACGTCATATTTCCCATCCATACTAGGAGGAATCGCAGATCTGCGACTAGGAAATAATTCATTTGTCACACAAGGTAAGAGCTTTGAAGCGTGAAATATTGGATACGTATGCAAATGCAGAGGAATCTCAACAACGTAAGATGGTTCATCCACATCTCCAATCATATCTAGAACCTGTCACGGTCCTCTGTAGGTTGGTAACAACTTTTGAGAAATGTTTTCCTCAGAAACGAACTCTTTAGACTTAACCCATACCAGATCACCTACAACAAACTAAGAAGGTCTTCTGTGTTTATTCGCCTGTTCTACCATCTGATGTTGTGCATTTATTATATTCTCCTTTACTTTCTGAATGTCTTTTTGATATTGTATCGCAAATTCACTTGTTCCTAAGGGAAGCTTATGAACTTGATCCGGGTTTAGGTGATCAATAGGTCTGCGTGGACGCCATCCCAAATGCAATTCCATCGGAGTCTTGCGCGTAGACAGGTGAACAAAGTTATTGTAGGCATTAGCAACTTTGGGCAAATGCTCATCCCAGTCAATCTGGTCGGGACGTATGTACATACGCAGTGTTTGCTGCAAAATCTTGTTCATTTGCTCAATCTGGCCGTTTGTTTCAGGGTGTCGACCTGACGACATAGTCAACTTAGAGCCATAAACATTCATTACTTGCTGCCATTGTTCACTCGTAAACCGCGAATCTCTGTCACTTACAATTGTTAGGGGATGTCCATAATCCTTTACCAGTGGTTAAAAAATTCCCGGATTACCAATTTTGCTCTTGCTTCCGTCGGCAATGCTACGAAGACAGCATACTTACTAAACCTGTCAACGATGACCATAACTTGCATTTTTCCATTCCTGTTATGACCTGTCATCACACGGACTGAAACAGACAGCCGATTTCTGAGTCTTGCCGTGGAATGCATGCCATACTAAGTTCCCCCGCCTGCTAAGCCTGCTTGTGTGTGTGTGTGCTGGACTGCATGTCTGTCTGAATGCTGGCTGACCTGTGTGAGTGTGCTGCGTGCCTGTCTAAGTGACTTGAGTGTGTGTGTGGCCCCGTCGGGGTCGTGGATGTGGGGGCAGGANGACACAAACTGAATAACAGGGTATACTGCCTGATGGACTGACACAGTGAAAGACTTTCTGACAACTGAATGTCAGACTCGCATATGGACAGAGTGACAAGAACCGACTTACAGATGAACAGACAGACAGATATATAGACAAAGCAAGATAGACAGAGGGGCAGACAAACAGAGATAGACAAGAGGTTGAAGTAGTGGAGATGCGTCAGATGTGACATACCTTCCCTGGAAATAACAAAGGAATCAAAAAGCACGGAAGGGCCCCACAGAGCCCAAGCGCCATGTACTCCACCTCCGTGAATCTCTGCATCCACGACAGGAAGACGGAAATGACATCCAGCAACAGAAACCCCAAAAATCTACACAAGCCATGCATTTATTTACCAACTCATCTGCATACAAACTCATCCACAACTTTTTTATCACAAAATTGAGACTGGTGACAATCACCAAGAAAACGAAAAAAACAGTTCAAAAAATAAAAAATAATTCGTTTTTTTTATCTTGTGTCATATCGACCCACTTGCACACAGCCAAAGGGCAAAGAGGCAAAGAAAAGAGGAAGGGAACAGCCAAATTCAACAAAACAGGGGGCAACAAGCAATAGCACCAAAAACGGGTCCTAGATGACAAGTCCCACATGCAAGCACCGCCCCTCCTTCACAGGCCAAACGACAGGACAAGACCACCCAGGACAAAACTCTTGTCTGCAAAAAAAGAGAAATCCCGGATTACATATCTATATACAGCAGATAGCCTTATTCGTATATATATAGTCAAACAGAGCTGCCCAGTAAGCCGTAGGCAGAGAGGGAGAAAAGGACAAGAAACGAGGGGCTGTGACAAACTGTTTCGTTGGAGTTTCACCGACTGATTCATCAGGAGGCTGAACCCTCAACAGTCTGCAGAATCCCCTAACTGATTACACTGTAAGTGATAATCCACATTAACCCCGGCTGTGGTTAAGCGTCAACGACTGCTCGACAACTGATACCCTGAGGTGGGCACCAACCACTGCCCTCAAGGTACCTGTGACGAAAATCAAAGCAGACTATCACTGACCCACACCAGATGGAAAACTCTGCAGACTGTCGGTTCACACCCCATCACAAGCAAGCAAAACACCCACGAAGCAAAGAAAGGTCTGTCACAGGCTCACAGCCAAAAAATACAATCCAGACACACTCGGTAAACTGTAGGCAGAGAGGGAGAAGAGGACAACCAACACGGGGCGGTGACAAAGTGTTTCGTTGGAGTCTCACTGATATACATTGTCACCTAACTATGAACTAAAAGAGCGCACTTTGCGAAACAAAAGGCAAGGATTAAAAAAACAAAACAAACATGAGCGGCAGGGAAACCATATATTTTTATCATTCTTCTTTTAACTCCCCCTTCAGTATGCCTATATACTAATTAATGTGTGTGTAATATGTCTGTGTGTGTGGGTGGGTGGGGGGGTTGGGCGGGCGGGCACGCGTGTGGGTGCGTGTGTGTGTGTGTGTGCGTGTGTGTGGTCGGGCGAGCGCATGCGTGCATGTGTGCGTGTGGGTGGGGGCATCTTTGTTTTGTTTTTTTATTTTTGGAATGGTTTTCACCTTTTAGCAGTAGCGGATGCAGTACCCAGGGTTCGATCCCTAGACCTCACCCTACCCATGTACAGTATCTGTGTAGACCCCGGGAATTGAACCTGTGACCTGTGTATTCGTAGGCACTTGGTAGGCCTGTCGTAGGTCCATAGGCAGCAGGGGTTCGATCTGTAGGTCTATAGCGTAGRAGTCTTAGTGAGTTCCGGAAGCTTAGCTGTAGACCTTCTAGAAGGTAGGCAAGTGGGCAAGTGGTCAAGTGGTGAGGCAAGTGGTGGACTAAACCGCAGTGCAACAGCAGTACAACCTCGGTAGGATAGCGGTGAGTCCACAGTCAGTCAGCAGAAGGTCCAGTCAGTCCCAGTCCGGTCCAGCAAGTACCACGGGGGGACTGTGAGCACCAAGGGCCGATGGCAAAGGGCAGACCAACGAGTTTCTGAAGTATAAATCAAGAGGCAGCGCCCAGCCWTTCATTCATTCCTGCGTGAGCCATGCGGAAGCGCTGCCACAGCGACTTGTGCAAGGAGGTCTGCAGATGAGCCCGGAGGACGCAGTGGGCAAGAGAGGAGTTAGCATAGCGATAGGTTAGAGGCAGCCATAGCTGCCATAGCTGTAGTTAGTAGTGAGTGTGTGTGTGTGCTCGAGTGTTAGAGTGATGCGTGTGGGATATCCAGGGTGATCCAGTGTATGTGAACAGTGAGATGTTTGGGCGCTGAAGTCGCCATAGCCAATTGAGAGTGAACTCGTATCTGAAAGCCATATCTCTGAGTTTTGAGTGGGCGCATGTCGCCAGTATACTGCGTTGCTGTTTACATGCATGAAAAGTGTGTTTGAGAACGAGTCTGATTGCATTTTTACCATTTGTTTCGCAAAGTGCGCTCTTTTAGTTCATAGTTATGTGTCCCCTAGTTTGTTGTACTCTTCTCCCTCTCTGCCTACGGTTTACCTGGCAGTTATCTTTGACGAATTGTGTCACTTGCGCCAAAAATCAAAAAGAAAAGAAAAACAAAAAGAGAGGTGAGAATTCATCACATAACTTGAATTATGTGACTTTCAAGCAGGGCTGGTCCCCGGTTGGACCGGGGGCCCCTTCCCCACCCGGGAGCCTGCCGGTCGGACCGGCCGGTCGACCGGCCCAGCAGAATCCAGCGCATTAGGCTGGACGGGGGGTACCGGGCAATGACAGGTATCCCCACGACTGCCCAGCCCCACGAGGCCGCGGGCTCCAAAAAAAAAAAAAAATGGGGCTTTTTGGGCCCCACTTCTAGGAAACAACGAGCGGAGAATCTCCGCCGCTCATCTTTGCAGATCAGCGGCAAACGACCGCTGCGCGCGTTTTCTCAAAAATTGGGGGGCCACCAGGCCCCACATTTTGATTTGGCATAGTGTGGTCCTACAGACCACGGACCAGTTATCATTTGGCATGACATACTCGTCCATCCTCAGCCACGAAGGAATTACTATGGAAGAGCAGTGGCTCTCCTGAGGTTATATGCTTCTGCAACATCACTAAGCTCTGGGGAAAGAGTTATGGGTTTGGGTTTCGGCTCTGTCTGAGGTGCAAGCCCAAGAATGGACCTCAGCTATATTTTTCTGTCAATCTATCTAGAATGCACGTGGCTCCACTACATGTATCTGGACAGACTAGCAGGCGAGATACTTTCGGACTGAGGACACTGATGACCCAGCGTATTTAAAACAAAAAAAACAACAGAAAACGCTCTGTATTTAAAACAAAAAAGACAAACAGAAAACGCTCTGCCTGCACGAGCTGAAACCTGCACCCATAACTTTTCGGCCGTCGAGCTATACTCTGGAAAAGGTACAAGTTTTGGCAAAGATCCACTTCTATTGCATCTCATTCAGGCTGCAGGACTCCGACTGCCGTTGGCATAGTCCAGAGTGCCTTCTGCTACTGAATTGAAGTCCGTGGGCCACGGGGGGTCGGATAAGTAATATTGCTCACTCGACCCCTCCCCCTGAAAGTGACACCTCCGTGAATATCCCAATAATATCCCCACCTACCCCTGGGGCACCCCCCCAAAAAAATTGGACCTTAGAAATTTTACTACGGATTTCGACAGCTCTTAAAGAGCGCAGTCAGAATCCGCCAAAAAAAAAAAAAAAAAAGAGAGAGAATTAGGCTTTATTTTTTGAAAACCGGTTTCCCGGTTCACCCCCCGGGGCTGGTCCGGCTCCGGTTGAACCGGGCAAGCTGAACCAGCCGGTTGCCGGCCCAGCCCTGCTTTCAAGTCAAATTGTGTGATGAACTCTCACCCTCACTCTCATTATATTCTTGCACCAAAGAAGAGAAACGAAAAACAAAAAACCAAAATCAGTGTCCCCTGCTGACTGATAAGCCCCCAAAAACATCAGAGCATATCGTCAACGGTTCGATTGGCAATATCTCCAGCGGGTGTTGTCATTTGTTGCGTATAAAAGATAGGGTTACAATACCTCAAAGAGTTGCAGCGGAACAATGATCCCAAGCGCTAGCACCAGGAAGGAAGAGCAGTAAATCAAAAAAAAAGCTTCTGCCCATCTCTTGCTTGGCGTCGGAGCCAACCATAGGCTGTCCACTTTACCCTTGTCGACATCTGTTGCACACAGAGAAGCATGTACTCAATTATGGGGGCAATCAGAATACAACAATGTCAGTTAAAGAAACCCTAAACCCCCCAAAAACCCCTAAACCATAAACCCTAAACCATGGTTGCCCCGGACCCGGAAATCCAGACACCGGACACGGGGTATGGACCCGTGTCTGGATTAATCCGGACATCCGGACGCGGATGGTCCGGTTGGGGGTGGACCAGTCCAGATGTCCGGATTAAACTAAATGAGAAACAAACAAAACAGCAGACACACACACACACACACACACACACACACACACACACACACACACACACACACACTGCTGTAGTTTCTCAGACTTACTGTCGTTCTTGTCAGGGGGTTGGACCGGAAGTCTGCTAGGATTGCATGGTTAATGTGAGTAAAGTCGGCCACTTTTCTCTCTCTCTAGGGTATCGGTAACTCTGGGTGATGTGGTGAGTCCTTCCTTATCCATCAGTCAAATGCATCCTGGGCAGACTGTCGGGGTTCAACTTCCTGATGAGTCGGTGAAAGTCCGACAAAATAGTCTGGCACGGTAATGTGTTTTTCGAGTGTATAGCGAATATGACAACACACTGCTGTAGCTCAGTGAAAGTCCGACGAAACAGTCTGGCACTGTCATGGTTTTTTTTAGTGTATAGCAGTGTTGCACACGCCAACCGTCGGCGACCCCTGACTGGTCGGCTGCCAACCCGCCGACCGGTCGGCTGGTCAGCACCTACCTGTCGGGGGTCGTCGGCACCCCGCCAAAAATATATATATATAACTCCTGATGAGTCGGTGAAACTCCGACGAAACAGTTTGTCACAGCCCCTCGTTTGTTGTCCTCTTCTCTCTCTCTGCCTACGGTTTTACCGGG